AAGATTCAGACCCTTTTGTGTTGGGGCTGGTGTTCTCAGCCATCAGAAGGAGAAGACATGCTCTACTCTTCCTTCCTGGAACTGAACTCACAGGGTACTAGGATCAGCCTCCCCACAAGGCTGTCACAATATCCAGCTCTCACTTGTCTGTCTCTTTCAGTATAAGCCTTTCCAAGGGATGCAATGGTATGCCTGAAAAAACAAACAAAAAAACAAAACCCTGCTCTGTGAGGACCCAGCACCCTTGCATCACAGGTCCAAGTAGAAGGGTTTACAGAGTCAGCTCCATGCAGGACTCTGATCTCTTTCCACAGCTGCTCTTAGTAAGGCTGGGGCTAGGAATTCCAGCTCTGCTTGTCTCCCAATTCTCCTTAGTGCAGGTCAAAAATCCCTGATCTGTTATGCCAGCCAACTCCACAGGATGTATCAGTCTGTTCAGCTCCACAGGTGGTAGGAAGGGTTCCAACCTCAAACTCAAGGTGCGATAATCCTCTTCCCTTTCCCCATGACACACAGTTTAGTCACTATCTGGGACTCTGAACTTTGCCTTTAAAGAAAACAAAAGGTCTCTCAAAGTCATGCTGGGTGCAGCCCTCAAGATGCTCTCATTTTTTTTTAGGAGCCAAATACTTCAGCACAACCTTTCCAGCAGTCTGAGCCTTGGGTGAACCTCTCCCTCTGGGACTGTGATCAGTAGGCACACTCTTTCACTGGGAAGGTACAGACCCAGCCACCCAGGCAGACAGAGTACCCCTGAATCCCTCTCCCTGATGCTATGTGGGCTCTCATTCCAGTCTCTGCTGCTCTGGGTTTGGGATCATTGTGTGGATATGAGCCCACACTTCCAAGGGGAGGGAACTTTGAGCCAGGATCACTTGGGATTCTCAGCTGAGCATCAGCTCCAGGAGCGTTTCCCCTGCCTGTGACTATCCTTCCCTTATCAGGCTCTATGTTGTTTCTTCAGTGCTCCCTAGACAAAATATGTCCAATTAGTTACACATCTTTTGCTTTGTCAAGCTGATTGTGTAATATTTTAGCTGTAAATCTAGTCTGTGGCTGGAAGGAAGGGCATGCAGCCTCTGTTATACTGCAGCCATCTTGCCTTTGTCCTATGAAAATAATTTTAAAGTTGTAGGCCCCTGAAGAGTTTCAGAGACACCAAGAGTCCCTGGAACATCACTTTGAGGACTAGTGGTCTAGCAAAATATCCACACAAGTGCACAGGTTGTTCCCTTCGATACTGTTTGTAAAGGAAAACATTGGAGCAATTACATCTTTGTCAAAAAATAAACTGCAGAACATGACACTATAAAATATTGTGTTAATTCTGTGTTAAATAGAGGAAGGGAGAGGTGTGTTGAGAGGTAGCTTATATGGAAGCTAGATCTCTAAATAACATGGCCATGAAAAAAACAAAACAGTTTCAGAAGAATACATAAATATATTACTTCTATAGAAATCTGCCATAAAATGATAATATTTTCAGTGGGTACATACTCATATTTATAAGTGTATAGAAAAATGTCTGGAAGGATCCACATCAAAGTGATAGCAGTGGTCACTAGAATCAGTAGAAAAACGTATCATTTAAAATTTTGTAATTAAGAAAGTAATATATCTTAACTCTCCTCTCTTTATTTTACCCACCTATTAAAACTGTCTCAAGATTTAGAGATATTTCCTCAAGTCTGAAATATAAGTCATCACTGATTATTATCCAGAGTGATTTAAATGAGGATTATGGCTCCAAAGCCGTTTAGGAAGCTGACAATCAGAGGCCATGGTGTCTGCTTTTTAAAATGAATTTATTTTTGTTACAGATGTTTCTTCTTTCCCCCCCATTGGCACTTTCCTCCCACACCCCATCCCCAGTATTGTTGTCTATGTCCGGGTGTCTGTTGAGTTAGATTTTGTTCTTATAAGTTTCCCCGGGCCACAGATTCACTAGTCCCCAACTTGAGCAGAGCTGAGCCAGGACAGAGCCTTCTACTTTCTTCTCTTTGCTATCTTAGGCACACGCACATACGGGCTGGAGTACATTCTTTTTTCGACAAGGGAATTTTCTCTCATCTAGTTTAATGCAACATTCCCAGGGTTGAAGCAGTGAGGACCCTGGCCAGGTCAGTAAGGGGTCCTTGAAAGACCATACGTGTGTGTGTGTGTATTAATTTTTGCTCACAGCAAGACTGTAAGTGTATGTACAAAAAACACAAGATGGACACTGTGCTAGGAGCTGGTCTGGCTGTGTTTCAGGGCTACAACTCAGTATGTGTCTCCTAAGAGTGTCCACCACTTCACAAACACCCTTTCAATAGCATGTCCTGTTTCTGATCTCACACCATATTACCTTAGCATAGACTTCATGGGGCTGAGAATTGCTAGATTCCCACCCAATGCCTGTTACTAGGAACACAGGAAGACCATGTTTCCAGGCTTCCCCTGCCGTTAGTGTGGTGCCAGTGACTGGGTTTGAAACAATGATTGCTTGAGAAGTTTATTTATACATTCTGTGCCTGGCTGTGAACATCTGTACATTCCTTCTTACTGTCCCTGCTTACTCAATGGATAAGAAGGCAAGAGGCCAGGAGAGGGCACTGAGCAGGCCCAAGAGAACAGGCTCAGCAGAAGCCAGGAGTCCTGTGGAAGGCCTCCTAGTAAACATCAAGGTAGGAGTGAGGAGCAAACCTCAGTTGGGATGAGCAAGGTGTAGTGGGTATCATAGCAGCTAGTAAAAATTACCTCAACAAATTCTCCATGTGCAGCTGGATTTTGAAAATACTCATGAAGGAGATGATCATGAGGATGATGTCATGGTAACTTTTTGGATAGATTGATGGCAATGACATTTTGCTTATAATGGGGATAAAGTCCATATTTGTTTGGTGCTAGTGGTGACAGCAGAAATGGGGGAACAGTTGTTGACTCATGGGGATGATGTCTGTGGCTTTAATGAAGAGAACAGAGGTGTGGCATATGTGATACTTGTGTGTTGGCTGTGAAGGTTACAAAAGGTGGCATTAAGGGCTGTGTGAGGAGGGAAGATTGTGTCAATGGTAATGGAATGCTGACTGTGGTCCTAAAGGGGATGGTGGTGGCTGGTAGCAGGTGGTTGGTTGTGGTTGTCGGAGGCATTGATGATGAGGTTGGTGACTATGGAGTAGGTGTTTCTGGTGTGGAAACCCTGCTGGCCTGAAATGGAGAGTGTGGGAATGATGGAAATGGTAAATACATGTTCCCAGCAGGCCTGTTTTCCTAAGACTCTCATGTCAATTCTCTATCCACCTTGGGGAATCCCTGCTTGGACACTAAAGTTTTCTTTATTACTTCCTCTCTCAGGGAAATCACCACCTCCACTGGTACCACTGGGCTACCTGGCTCCTAACAGGTTCTCACTGGACCAAGCCACTCAGTCAACAGGATCAAGGCCTATAATCATCATTGTACCAGATCTTTAGTGGCACATGTTAGCCTCAGGAAGGAGAAGGGACAGAATTTATGGAAACCCATGTGGGGACTTGGAAGCAGAAGAGTCTTGGTTCTAGGGGGCTTAGGAAGTTTTCAAGGGAGGACTTTACAGATATGGAAGGGGATCTGTCTGGGATCATGCCTATGAAGTGACTGTTGGGGACCGGACCTGTGTTCTCTTCTATATACTATAGGGTGAACAGTATCTTCCCCTCAGGGTTTTTTCAGGGTACAGGAAAATGACCGTTGTGAAGTGCTTCATTCAGAGCCTTGCAAATACAATGTGCCCAATAAGTAGATGCCAGCTTACCATTGTTGTCATTAGGCAACAGTGTTATAGCTGATTCCTAATGCAAAAATTACAGACTCTCAGCCTATGGACTTCATCTAGTAGTTAAGATATATTATATTTGATATATTGATATATAAATAAAAAATTGTTAATTTAGTGGCCAAGAGTTGAACAATTCAGAGATTTCACATAAAAATCTAGATTTTCAATCTCTCTGAAAGAATGGGATACTGGGTATCTGGGTCCACATCTCCAAATGGCAGCATTTGGTTGGACCTTTTTGGATGGAACATGGGTTTTCTGATTTGCCACAGTCTCCACCACTCCCTACTGTCCATCTTTCATCCTGAGTTTGAGGCTCATGTTCCAGACTCACCTCTGTGGACCAGTGCCCTTCAGTGACACACTGTACTCACCTGGTTTTTCTAGCGACATCTTCTGAGCCACAGGACCACCACATGGTACTCCTTGAGGGAGAAACCTTGGTGTAATTAAATTTGGATTTGGTTGGCCAATAACAAACCTAACTGTTAGCTTGTCCAGTAGAGAAAAGTTTATTTTAAATGTTGGCACCAGAATTCCTCTGTGGGAGAAAAGTGTCTTGTTTAAAAAATCTGTGTATGGGGTAGAAGTGGGACCCCAAAGCTTGCAGGTGACCAATGCCAGCACTTGGAATGGAGTCATTTTGATGAGAAATGGAGTAATTTGATGTTCTGTTTCTTAGGAAGAGCAGTAGAGGGAAAGAAAAGGAGAGAGAAATTAGTACAGGAGAAGAGAGACAATGGGGCCAGGTAAGCCCAGATGGCCTTAGGTCAGACAGAGTGGCCCAAGGCCATTTGAGAATGGTGAAGTGCCTTTCAGTGTATGTCTGTTGCAGAGATGGCCATGCATTCTTCAGTAGATCCTGTCTGTTCCCTCCTGTGATGTGAGAGAAAGTTTTTTTTTGTTTTTATTTGATGTGTAATAGGCCTGGGCTGTCTAGAATGGTCCATGTGGGGAGCTGGTGCTACTAGACAGGGTAGAGTATGAAAACTGTGTCCTGGGGCCTTACAGGCACTGGGTAAAGGCTCTGTGTGTCCATATTGTGAAATTGGGAGTGGCTGGTTGGAAGGAAGTGGGACAGCTCATTTCACTAGGCACTTGGGGGACAGAGAAGCAAAAATTGATATCTGGTCATTTAAAAAAATGAAACCAGGTTTCTAGAAGGAACTGAGAGGAAAAAAAAAACAACAACAACCTTCTGATCTTGGATAAAATGGCTGAACAGCCAGTTTATTTTGAGTAACTGGTGGTTCTGGCTGATCAGGGCTAGAGAAGTCTGGGGAGGGACTCAGGGCCTGGCTGCTTAGCTTGAGAATGACCCCAGGAGGAGGGGCTCTGTGGCAGTGCACAGCAGACTTGCCAGGAGAATCAGACCCATTGTTACCACAACAACCAGTGCCACATCCCACCAGACCCCTGGGTAGGCCCAGGATGTCTGTAGCTGCCAGCCACAGTTTCCCAGCTCATAGCCTGTGAGCTGGCCCAGTGGGTGGATGGTGGCAAGGCTGGGGCTAGCACAGTGGACATCCAGCAGAGCCTCAGGTGTGCGGTCTTCCAGCCAGAGGTGCAAGTAGATGAGGCTGCAGTCACAGTGCCAAGGATTCTGTGTCACATCGAGTGTCTGCAACTGGAGCAGGTGGTCGAAGGTGCCAGGGGCCAATGAACGAAGGCTGTTATTGGCCAGCAGAAGGTGGCGGGTATGAGCTGGCAGAGCAGGCAGGGATGTGAGCCCTCGCCCCCTGCAGTCCACCCATAGTCCCATGGATTCCAGGGCCTGGCAGGTGCATGGTTCAGGGCAGTCTTTGGTGGCCTCCACAGTAGCCCAGAGCAGGAACAGGGTCCCCCAAGCAGGCATTGTGCAGGCTGGCTGTGGGTAAAGTAGCTATGAGGTGAGGGACGGCCTGGTATCCTGTACCCTATCCCAAGATCTACTGGGAACAATGATATTTGACCTGGGTCAAGGGATAATTACTTTTTCGGGCTTCAGCTTTCTTGTCTGTGAAATTGCTACAGTGAATACTAAGGAAGTGAACTGTGCCCAACTTGGGCCTGGCTGACCCCTAATGAACACTCAGAAGGCAGGACAGTGAAGGTGGCTGAGGTGGGGGAGGAAACAAGGGTAACTTTGGAAGAGGACAGAACCTCTGGAGGTTGGGGGAGCAGGTTCCTCCTTCATGGTTTATAGTCTTGGCCCCTAGCCTCCCTGCCTAAGCCTGGGTTAGGCCAATGATGTGGCCTTCACAGACCATACCTCATCACACCAATTTCAAACAGCTTGCCATGGCAAGGTGAACTCTTATGTGAGACTCGATGTAGAAAACAGCACAGCAAGGATGCTGAGGTAGGGAAGAGAAAGGGAACCCAGATGGAGCTCGCTCTAGAAAGCCACCCATCCAGGCTTGGGGAAATTGAGGCTCAGAGACCTAGAGTGATTTGTGTAGGGTCACCTAGTAGTCTGTGTCAGGAACCGGACTCAAACTCAGGTCTTATGAGCCCCAGTTTTCTGCCTGATTCACTGCCTTCCCTCCACATCTGTTTCCCCCTTCCTAAAACAAGCTCTTCCCAACCTGCCATCCCTCTGCACCACAGGGCCTGGCTCATGGCAGACTTCCAGTGACTATTCATTGAATAAACCAATGAATTTTGCCTTAGCCAAGGAGCAGGTCCTCAGAGTGAATGCCCCCACCCAACCCCATCTTCTAGAAGGGAGATCAAAAGGATGCATAGAGCTAGGACCTGACAGCAGGCTTCCCCACCACCTTGGAGGAACCCCTGCTGTGGGAGGCAGTACTGGACAATAAGAAAGACTACTTACCTTTGAAACTTTGAAACCTGCGGTCTGGTTCCCCTTTCTGTGGCTTGAACTGTTCTGGTTGAGGCTGAGGTGGCAGTTCTATGTACAGCAGCTGATGGTGGCCACTGCTTGAGAGGGAGGAAGGAAGTGATAAAAATAGCCTGGCTTATCCCCTGAAGGCAGTCCTGGAGGGCCTATTTCTAAAGGCAGGGGCCCCTGGGGTCCTTGTGCCTTAGGCCCAAGAAGCTTAGGTCAAACTCAAGAAGAGGGTCCCAGGCTCCTGGTCTAAAGGCATTTTGAATGATTTAGGACTGGAGGGGGAAACTGAGGTGCAGAGCATCAGTGTTGCCAACTGAGGCCACACTGGAACTTGAGAAGTACCAAATGCTATCTCACCCAGGAATGGAGGAAACCTGAATCTTCTCCAACTGATGTTTTTTTTGTTGGTTTTTTTGTTTGTTTGTTTGTTTGTTTTTAAAGCAGGGTGACAACACTAAAAATAAAAGGGCAGGAAACTCAAAGGCAAAGGGCTGTGGAGTGCTTTAAACAATTTATACATTAGACCCACAGGAATATTACTTATTTTTGCTACAAAGTCTGTTTTTTTTAATCTTTTAAAGCAGGAGTTGTGAACCTTTTTTCTGCCAATAGCCATTTGGATATTTATAACATCATTCATAAGCCATACAAAATTATCAACTTAAAAATTAGCCTGCTATATTTGGTCAAACATTTAATTAACTCACTTCTAATGTGATGGCTGGAACTTCTTCTTTTTGGTGGGGCATGTGATGTTAGCTGGTATTGATGATGTTGCTACTCTCAACTACTTTTCCAAGTTTGTGTCTATCAGTCTGGAGCACAGTCGACTCTTTGTGATGGTAAATTTTGAAAAGAACTGCTCACAGCAGTAAGTTGTTCTGAACACAAATGCATATTTCAATTCATGTCTCCTCAAAGTGGGAAATTCATCATAACTTATGTAGTGGTTATAGAACTCAAACCATGGGAGGTTGTTGTACCTAGCTTTCAACTCATCATTGCTTTGCAGCAGAATGATTATCAGGCACATCAGCTGGTTCCACACTGAATAGTATAGCAAAGATGTTCGATTCCATTTATTTACTTTTCACATTCTTGAATCTTTCATTACATGCCTCAATTAGTTTCACACATTTACCAGCATATTCAAGTCCTGTAGAAGGCTTTTGTTCTTCTGGAGTGGGAAAACGCATCATGATATTTCTTTCAAGTTGCACTTTCCACAGCCTTAATTTAGCTTCAAATAATTTTACATTTGAAAGAAGAGAGATGAGAAACTAGTTGGGGCCGTGCAACTTGACATTCAGCTCTGAGGTACTTGGTAATGTCCACCTGGAATGCTAAATCACACAACCACTTGCTATTATTGAGTTCCCTTTATATGTATGAACTGCTTGACTTCATCCCACAGTTCATAAAAGTTCATGAGCCATGTTCCCATTATTCAGCCACTGCACTCCACAGTGATAAATAAGATCACCATATTAGAGTCAAGATCATTTAGTAACTCCTTAAAGTGTGGCGGTTAAACCCTCTGCTTTTGACAAAATTTATGTATGACACTACTGTTGACATCACATTGTTGAACTGCAATGATGGTGCACAGAGACTTTCTTGGTGTATGATGCATGGCATATAATTAAATCACCTGGATCAAGACTGAGATAATTCAGTTCTTTCTTAACAAATGCAATTAACCCTTTATGTGAGCCAACCATTGCTGGAGCTCCATCTGTAGTAAGGCCACTTAATTTTTCAAATGTTAGCTCAAGTTCTTTCATTGAGAACATAAAAAAAGTCACTCAAAGAAGTTCTCACCTCTTGCAGTGCCATACATGGCTTTCAGTGATAGCAGTTCTTCTCACATGTCAAACTCTGCAGTTATCCCAGGAACAAAAATGGCCACTCAGGCAGTATTTGTTATACCTGTTGTCTCATCGCAAGCCATAGAGAAAAATTGGAAATCTGCAGAATCCTTCAGTGTTGCGTTTTTGTTTTTTTTTAATATCTTGTGCTAAGTAAGTAATCTAACTGAGAGACAAACTAACACTCTGAAACAATTTTACTTTGGTGCTAACAACTCCACAGCAGCCACCGTGCACTCTTTCACAAACTCTCCTATATAAGGCTTCAGCTTCTTTGTGATTAGTTCACTCACTACGTAACTCATTTGAATAAGCTGTCTCTTTCACAATGAGGCCTGGTGAAAGTGTCATTCCAAACTTTGCTGAAAAGTATTGATTTTATCCAGGTGCATTTTGCCTTCCAATTAATTGACTTTAGCATGTTGTGAGTTATAATAATGCTCCAGATTGGTTTTTTCATTACTGCTAACACATTGCCATAAACTAGGCACACAGGTTTGCCTTTGACATCCATAAAAAAATAATCATTTGTTCATTTCTCTTGGAAAGAGTGACACTCTACGTCAACTTTTATTCTTTTTGTAGTAGTAATTTCTAGGTTGTCACAACACTTAAGTTTTAATAACTATCCAGTGTGTGTCACAAGTTACATGATTATTTATTTTGCTTTGATCATTATTCTAATCTTTGATCTTGGATTTGAAATATATATAACATTGATATAATCAACTCTTGAGGTCTTTTCTTTGTACTGTAATTTCCTTAATCTTTATCTGAGATTCTGTTTTTGTGAGGATTGTTGATCATGGACATGTGGATAAAGGTTTGATTTGGAGTTATCATCTGTGTTGACAGAGAAGTCAACATCATAAGCAATCATTGGAAACAAGGTCATCAACATCACGAGTAATCATCTCATCACATCTTGTCTCATTATCATTGGATCACCATAGTTTCACCAAAGTGTGTTAGCACTTTCACAATGTATATATTCCCAGCCTGCCTGACACTGACTGTTCTCTGAGTCATCACAATATAGTCAGATGGGTTGTGAGCAGCACAGAAGCATACATGTCTGTCCCATCATGTACTCATATGTATCCTGTCTATTCCATAATGAACATTCCTTGCTTCTCCCTCAAAATTTATGTTATTGTTCTGATTTACTTAATATAAATTTATGATGCTATGAAAAAAAGCTCCTAGATTTATTGAATTTTGAGTCCCACCTGCAATTGCCTTGGTAGAGCCAGACAAAATTATTTTGCAGGCCTTATAGCCCTGTTTTAAAGCATTCTAGCCCTCTTCAATAAATGGAGTTGATGTTATTTATTTGTGTTTATCATCTGCTTCTCTCCATCAGAATGCTCCCTGAGAGATGGAGCCTTTCTACACTCTTTGTGGTCAAAGTCACAGTTGACTGGGTCAGTGCCTGCACATTCAGGTCCTGAATCAGTTTGTGCTGGGTGATTGCACAAGTGAATGAGTGGTTTGACTATACAAAATTTGATCAGCAGGAAGAGATCCTGGTTCTTCTTCAATTCTGATCACCTTATTGTACAGGTGTTCAGAGGGGGAGGCCCAGCTAGCTGAGCCTCTCAGAACACCTACCACAGTTGTCAGCAATCTTATGTTCCTAAGACACCTGGGAATTTTAAAAAATATTTGTTGAATGTATTGGAGTGACATTGGTCAATAAAATCACAGAGATTTCAAGTGCACAACTCCACAGTGCATTATCTGCATACCACACTTGTGCGTTCAACCCCCTCAGTCAAATTCCCTTGCCCCTACTATTTATCTACAGCTTACCCTCTTCTGCTTACCAAAACCCCCCTTCCCCTCTGGTAATCACCACATAGTTGTCTGAGTTTATGAGTAGTTTTATTTTTTTTTGCTTAGTCCTTTTAATTTTTTTTACCCAATCCCCCCAAAATCTCTCCCCTCTGATAGCTGTCAGCCTGTTCTGTTTGTCTGTGTCTGTTTTTATTTTCTTTATTTTGTTCATTAGATTCTACATGTAAATGTAATTATGTGGTATTTGACTTTCTTTGATTGGACTCTCCAAGTCCATTCATGCTATCACAAAAGATAAGACTTTATTCTTTTGTATGGCTGAGTTGTATTTTATTGTGTATATGTACTAATGCATTTTATACATTTATTTATTGATGGGCATTTGAGTTGTTTCTATATATTGACTATCATAAATAATGCTGCAATGAACATAGAAGTGCATGTATCCTTTCTTATCTTCAAATATTTTTATTTATTTATTTTTTAGTTAATTAATTTATTTTTGTTACAGATGATTCTTTTTTCCTCCACTGATTTCCCCCTCCCCCACCCTCCCCACCCTATACCCAGCTTTGTTTTTCTTGTCCATTGTTCATGCATACATGCATATAAGTTCTGTGGCTTATCTCTCCCCATGACCCTTCCTCTTCTGGGGATTGTCAGGCTGTATCTCACTTCCACATCTCTGGAACTACCCCATTCCTCAGACTGTTATGTTCACTATATTTCACAAATAAGTGAGATCATATGATACTTGTCTTTCTCTGTTTGGCTTGTTTCACTTAGGATAATACTTTCCAGGTCCCTCCATGTCAACTCAAAGGATAAGAGATCTTTATTTTTAAAAGCTGCATAGTACTCCATTGTGTATATGTACCACAGCTTTGTTATCCATTCATCTACTGATGGATATTTGGGCTGTTTTCAGATCTTAGCTATTGTAAATAGTGCTGCTATGAACATGGGGGTACATATATTCTTTCTGATTGGTTTTTCAGGCTTCTTAGGGTATATTCCTAGAAGTGGGATCACTGGGTCAAATGGAAGATCAATTTTTAATTTTTTGAGGTAACACCATATTGTTTTCCACAGTGGCTGCACCAGTCTGCATTTCCACCAGCAGTGTACAAGAGTCCCCTTTTCTCCACACCCTTGCCAACACTTGTTTGATGATTTGCTGATGGCGGCCATTCTGATAGGTGTGAGGTGATACCTCATTGTTGTTTTAATTTGCATCTAGAATAAGTGTTTCAGGTTTCTTAGGGTATATTCCCAGGAGAGGATTTTTTGTATAATAAGGCAGTTCCACTTATAATATTTTTTTTCTCTTTGTTAATGCCTCATTTTTGGCCTACTTTTAATTTCTTCCAGGGTATTCTTGATGTCAGATATGATATCTTTTATTTCTGACTGGTTATTATTTATAGTGTCTAA